AGAATCACCTCCCTCCCCAAGTATTTGTCCATTGTCTTACTCAATGTGTCTTTGAGAAAAAAAAAATATTTCTAAAGAAGTAGTATGCTGCTCATATTGGGTAATGAGAACTACTATAGTTCTGTTCAAGACAAAGTTTCAATATCTGAGCTACCCCTCTTCTTCTTTGGATAATAGTAACTGTAGATAAAATAACAAAAGATAAAATTTAAAAGACAATAACACTTTAAGGAACAAACTAAATATGTCTTTGACTAGAAAAGAACAGAAATGCAAAGCAGTAGGGCTGGAGATGAATGTCTACTGGGCTGTAGCACTGTAGGCAGACAGAGATGATTAGGAGTTCAGCACTCACAGGGTGACAGGATCTAAAAGTGCCAAGCAGGTGGCAACCAGACATTGGATCATTGTTTGAAATCAGGGTCTGAGGTGGAGTACCACTCCATAAAAGGAAGCTTAAAACAAAAACAAAAACAAAAAACTGCTGTCTAATACTACCAGAATATCAAGAAAGGAAGTAAAGATGAAGCTACAGTTTTGAAGCCAGAGCTTCTGTGAAACTGCCTTCTGGCTCAGTGATGAGTGATAATGTCACAATTATCCCAAGAAGGCAGGAATACCGATATAACAATATAAGATTTATTTCTAATTTGGGATCCTAACAGGGTTGGCTGAAGGCCATTGAAAGGGAGGAAAGAGATAGAGGAAGAAAAGCCTAAATAATTGACAAAGCTTCCTCCTACCCAAGACAAACCTGAAAATCTAAATTCCATAATTAATGAAGAAAAAATACTAAAAATAGCCACGAAGATAAATTATTGACATCAATTCCTTCTCAGATGAAGTGAAAATAATTATACAATCTGAAAAATGCTTTATAATAAGACATTTATGATCTTTCACCAATAAGATAAAAAAGAAAAAATTCATAATGAAGACTAAGAAAATATAGAACAAAACCATGCAAAAATGATATGATAACAGGCAGATCTAAAAATAGCTTATTAAAAATTCGAGAAATAACATGGCATAAACTTTTGAAAAGGCAAAAGCAAAGAGAGAATTAGTAAATCAAAAAAATAGACCTGAGGCATTGTGAAAAAGCAGTTCAGAGAAAGGGAAGGAGGATTGAGGAGGTGAAAGTTAAGTATAGCAAAAGCTCCAGAAGAAGAGAGAAAAGAGTGAAGTAGCAACAGTTGAAGAGACCTTGGCTATGCATTTTTCAATGTTGAAGACACAAGTCCTCAGATGAAAAATGTAATCCAGGTTCTAAGAAGGATGAATGAAAATAAATGCATACTTAGATACGTCTTAGTAAACTTGAAGATAAGGAGAACATGTTATAAAGTTTTAGTTACGCAAGATGAATAAGTTCTAGAGATCACGTGTACAACATTGTGCCTATAGTTAGCAGTACTGTGTTTTGCACATAAACATTTGTTGAGAGAGTGGATCTCATGCTATGTTCTTACCACAATAAAACACAAAGCAAAACAAAAAACTATTTGAAGAAAAAATCAGATTCTTAAAGAATGGCCTTGGCTGGGCGCAGTGGCTCATGCCTGTAATCCCAGCACTTTGGGAGACCGAGGTGGGCGGATCACCTGAGGTCAGGAGTTCGAGACCAGCCTGACCAACATGGAGAAACCCCATCTCTACTAAAAATACAAAATAAAAATACAAAATTAGCCAGGCGTGGTGGCACATGCCTGTAATCCCATCTACTAGGGAGTCTGAGGCAGGAGAATTGCTTGAACCTGGGAGGCGGAGGTTGCGGTGAGCTGAGATTGTGCCATTGCACTCCAGCCTGGGCAACAAGAGTGAAACTCTGTCTCAAAAAAAAAAAAAAAAAAAAAAAAAAAAAGATGGCTACTAGGCAGACAGTTGACTTCCAATCAGCAACTATCCAATAGAGCAATATCTACAAATTGCTGAGGAAAGCCACTGTCAATCTAGAATTATATGACTGGCAAAACCACCTATGTGTAAAAGGTTACATCAGGCCAGGTACGTAAACATAACAAGGCTTTCCTGGGAAGGAAACATCAGTTCTCACAACACCATTTCCTTGAATGCTTACTGAGTTAAGATAAATATGGAAGGCCAGGCACGGTGGCTCATGCCTGTAATCCCAGCATTATGGGAGGCTGAGGCAGGTGGATCACTAGAGGTCAGGAGTTCAAGACCAGCCTGGCCAACATGGCGAAACCTTGTCTCTACTAAAAATGTAAAAATTAGCTGGGCATGATGGCAGGCACCTATAATCCCAGCTACTCAGGAGGCTGAGGCAGGAGAATCCCTTGAACCTGGGAGGCGGAGGTTGCAGTGAGCCAAGATCACACCATTGCACTCCAGCCTGGGTGACAAGAGCGAAACTATGTCTCAAGAGAAAAAAAAAAAAAAGATAAATATGGAATACTGCATGCTAAGAGCTAATAATCTGTCTTGTTTACTGTGAAATTCCTGATTAGAGAGAGCATATCTGGACTGAGATTTTTCTACATGGGCATACAAGTTTTGGGCCTATATGACAGGAACAATATATAAGAGAGGTGGGAAACTAAGGCAGTAGCTTCTCTGTGCTAAGTGAAACCGTATATATGTTGAATACATCCTGTGTAGGTAAGGGGAGATACAAGAAGCTGTGTATACATATTCTTTTAGGACCTCCAAGTAGTAATAAGGCTGTTTTTCTTGACTTCTATAAATCTGAATATTTTAATGATAGATTAAATCCTATTGTGTTACATGAGTTTGATTTCCAATCTTGTGATCACTGCTAGTAAAATAAAACATTTTTCACATACAAAAATTAGGAGACTTTTCCACTCACAAACGATTATTGAATGAACTATAAAGGCTGTAATTTAGCAAGAAGAAAATCGAACTCAAGGAGGGAGACTGAGATGCAAGAAACAAAACCAAGTAGAGAAACTTAAAAATTAAGTGGATAACTAATGGTTATCTACCCAAAGGAAAAGAAGTCATTATATGAAAAAAGATAAAAAGATACTTGCACACACGTTTACAGCAACACAGTTCGCAATTGCAAAAATGTAAAGCCAACCCAAATGCCCACCAATCAACGAGTGGATAAAGGAACTGTGATATATATATGTGTGGACACTGTGAGATATATATATATATATATATATCAGCCATAAATATATATATATATATAGATATATATATATATATCAGCCATTCATTCCTTTTTATCAGCCATAAAAAGGAATGAATTAATGGCATTTGCAGCAACCTGGATGGGATTGGAGACCATTATTCTAAGTGAAGTAACTCAGGAATGGAGAAGCAAACATCGTACATTCTCACTCATAAGTGGGAGCTAAGCTATGAGGATGCAAAGACATAAGAATGACACAATAAAATTTGGGAACTCAGGGAAAGGGTAAGAAGGGTCTGAGGGATAAACGACTACAAGTTGGGTTCAGTGTATACTACTCTGGTGATGGGTGCACCAAAATCTCACAAATCACCATTAAAGAACTTACTCATGTAACCAAACACCATCTGTTCCCCAATAACCTATGGAAATCAAAAAAACTTTAAAAAAGTTGAATGGAAACTCAAAAAAAATTAAGTGGATAAGTTTTTTTTTTTTCAATTAAAAAGTGAAACAAATTGCTAAACCTCAATAATAGAAGAGAAGGTGAGTCTTCAATGGTTACTTAATGTGTTAACATCTTTGTCCTGTTTGAGAGAAAGAGATACTGATGCTGAATGACTTTATACTCTCCTAAGAAAAACACTTAGAAAAGGATATAGTTTTAAAATTATAAAGTACATATTTTTAAAACTTACTGAAATACATATTTTATAATTTTTAAACTTAAGAATAACCATTAAAATGAGAGTAATATTCTCCATAGCTTCTGAATTCACAAAGCAAAAAGGAGTATAGAAAATTTTATCAGTACCTCAGGAGGTAGAAAAGGAGGAAAAAAAGAAGCAAAAAGAAAGGAAGAGAATTAGATAATCAATGAGTTTTCCTTTTTCCCATGGCTGGCAGGATGACCAGATAAAAAATATTTTCCAAGTATTTCATCCTGTATTCCTAATATGGTTATTTTCACTTTTCATAAGATAATTTCTCATTTCTTTTGCCTTCATTTTGGATATCTATATAGTCAAGTTAATTTTCTTCTTGTATTAGAATCATACAATTTTAGACCTGGAAAAGTCCTTAGAGATCCCCTGGTACAGAAATAAAAACAAAGCAGGTATACTACCATGATCTTATGCACAAGGCAGGCATTGCTAATTAAATACAATGTTCCTTCTCACTAAGCCTAATCATGGTCTTACATATTTCTCAATAAAGCTTTCCTACTGTATTTTATTGGCCCAAGAGATGAAACCTATTTACTATCAAGATCTAGTCCAATTATGTCTGTGACAGATGAAGAGACTGAGATGTGGGATGACAAGATAATTTGCCCAAGGTCACACAAAAACTGAAACAAGAGCTAAACCTATCAAATCCAGGATATCATCTTCTATATCAGATCAAGTCAATAAATCCTATGGCTCCTCTCCCAATCAAAGAAACTTCTAGAACCCCCAAGAATGTTGCTTTTAGTTTTAAGTTTTTTGTTTTTCCTAACCAGTTGTGGGTTCCAATTCTGTACAAGATGAAGTCACAACATGCCATTTTACTGCTTCCACTAATCACAACAAAAAACTCTGGACAAAATATGTGTGAAAAATAGAGAACAGAATGTAGATGTCTAGGGGCTTAGGGACTTGAGGAATTGCCTGGAGGTGGGTTCCCTGGGTTTTTCTCTTGCCTCTTATTTGTCCTGACTTTGGCGCTGGAGAAACCTACAACTTGAAAACAGGCACAGAAAAAAAAAAAAAAAAAAAAAAAAAAAAAAAAAAAAAAAAAAAGCCACGAGAAAATCCTGGGCTCTTTAGCCAAAGAACTGTGAAAAGTTATTTGTGAAAAGTATAACCCAGTAAGTCACATCCTTTAACCATACCTGCCTGCTCTCAGGGTGAGTACCACAAGCAAGTCATGCCCCATCCTCCACCTTGATAGGCACTGTAGGAAATACAGTCCGTGGGCAGAGCCCTCTCTTCCAGGCCCCTTGCAATAAGGAGGGGGTGCTCTTCCCCTTTGAAGACTATGGGTGGAATTCTGACTTCCAACCCTGCATTAGTCTGCTCTGGTTGCCATAACAAAAGACTGCAGAGTGGGTGACTTAACAGAAATGTATTTCCTCACAGTTCTGGAGGCTGGAAGTCCAAGATCAAGGTACTGGTAGGGTTGGTTTCTGGTGCGGCCTTCCTTTGTGGTTTTCAGTCAGTTGCCTTCACTGTGTCTTACCTCTGTGCATGTGCGGAGGGCAGAGGAGAGAGAGATGTCTGATGTCTCTTGCTCTTCATAAGAAGACACCAGTCATAGCAAATTAGGGTCCTACCCTTATGACCTCATTTAACCTTAATTACCTATCCAAAGACCTTGTCTTCAGATAGAATCACATTGGGGGTTAGGGGCTTCAACATATGAATTTTGGAGGATATAATTCAGTCCATAACAACCCTGAACCCCTGTCCTGCAGTAATGCCCTGCCCTCTGTGGTGGAGCCTGTGTGTGAAACCCTGACTTCCATCTCTGCCCTGCATTAATAAGGAAACAAAACTGGTAAATTAAACTTTATCAAAATTACAGTCTTTTGCTCTGTAAAATAACCTGCTACAAAGATGAAAAAACAAGCTGCAGACTGAGAGAAAATACTTGCAAATTACAGACCTAATAAAGGACTTATATCCAGAATATATAAAGGACTCTCTAAATTCAGTAGTAAGAAAACAAACAATGCAATTAGAATATGGTCAAAATCTTGAACAGACACTTTTCTAAAGATGACATCCTGGTGGCAAATCGGTATACGAAAAAATAGTGAATATCACTAGCCTCTAGGAAAATGCAAATTAAAGCTATATGTGCTACCACACCTATTACAATAACCAAAATAAAAATTACTGATAGTACCAAGTGCTGATGAGGAATGTTAAATGGCATAGCCATTTAACATTTCCAAACAATTTGGAAAATAGTTTGGCAGTTTCCTATAAACATACACACACCACAGGACCCAGAAATCTGTTTCATCAGTGTTTATCTTAGAGAAATGAAAAGTTATGTTCACACAAAAACCTATACATGAATGTTTATAGCAGCTTTATATTGTACCGGTCAAAACTGGAAACAACCCATATGTCCTACAACTGATGAATAGAATAACAAAGTGTGGGCCATCTATACTACAGAATACTGCTCAAAAATAAAATGGAATTAACTACTGGTTCATGTAACAACTTGGATGGATCTCAAAAGAATTATGCATAGTGAAAGAGGCCAGTCTCAAAAGGTTACATATTGTATGATTACATTTATATAATATTATTGATGTGGCAAAATCAATGCTGCATAGATATATGATTGCCAGGGGTTAGGATTGGGGGTAGGATATGATCATTAAGGTGTAACTCAAGGGAGTTTCTTTGTGGTGACAAAACAGTTCTGTATACTGACTGGTGGTGGTTACACCAATCATAGAACTATATACACACACACATACCCCCAAAAGAAGTCCACACAAAATCTGGTGAAATCCAAATAAAGTATTGTACTATTGTGTTACAGTTATTGTTATTGTATTGTATGTACCAATGTCAGTTTCTTACTTTTGACAACGTTCTATGGTTATGCAAGATATTATCATTAGGAAAAGCTGGGTGAGAGGTACATGGAAATTCTCTGTACTATATATGGAATTTCGAGTCTAAAACTATTTCAAAATAAGAGTTATAATTTTAAAAAATTAGTTGTAACAAATTTTTAAAAATGTTCTAGTCTCACACCTGTCTGACTTCAAAGCCAGTGTGATTAAACCACTACACCACATGGTAAGGATCCATTAGAAAAATGCTTATGTTAGCAGGCACAAATAAGGGACACTCCCAGCTATTCAAAATTATTTTTGTCTCCTTAAACTCTAAAATAAAAAAGCACAAAACAAGAAATGGCTGAGATAACTGTAACATTTGAGGTGGGATGGTTTTAATAGATTTTACCATTTTAACTCTTTTAGGTTAAATCCCACTTTGTTGTTCAGTGATCTCAGAATGTTTTATGAATTCTCTTTGGTAGATTTTCACATCAGCATTTCAAATCACCTTACTCTAGGTGTTTTTCTCTTGGGTGTTCTTTTTGTTAATATTTTTAACTTCACAAAGCTCTTTTCTATCATTTTAGTCAGTTAATTGAAAGCAAAGCTTAAAGGAAATGAACATGTTTAAAATAAACTTTTTAGGGTTGGAGACTACATGCTTTTTGTTATTTTTCTTGCTCTGATATCTTATTAGTGTTATCACATTCCTGAAATACTTAACATGGTTAAAAGCGTGAAAAGCACAAGTATTGAAAGACCTTAGGAGACTGCATTTTGAAGCCCTCAAAAATGTGAACTGGGAAATACATAAAACAACTCTGTTTGTTGGGCTTAAGGTCATGGGAAATACATCTGTTTGCATTTGTGGAGTATACGGTCATAGAAAACTACGCCACATGAAGCAATGGAGCAAAAAGCACAGCAGCAATATGCGGTTACATCATCTGCTAAGCATGTATATCACAAATTACTTGAAAGCAACCATCATGATATTCTGGGTCCCACCAAAATGTTATGATTAAACATTCACAACAAAGGCTGTGACCAGGAGCCTTTGTTCTGAGCAGGGTTTATTTGAAGAAAATGGAATGTTATTGTAATAAGAAACCTGGGCTGGCTCTGCCTCTCCAACTCATTAGGCTGTGGTAATGTGCATGAGGTGGTAGGGTGAAGGGAGATGGGCTGGGGAGAGGCTCATAAGTTCCACACAACACCCTGGGGCTTGACAAGGGAAGAGGAATGACAGGTGTAGAGGAGATATATGAAGTTCTCCATCGGATACCTCCTGCAGAGTTGGAGTCCTAGCCTTCAGGGCAGAACTCTCAGGAGGTGCACTCTATCATAGTCAAAAATTCCAGTGATACATTGTTCATGAGAAAAATCAGACAAGGCAATTACAGGAAAGAGCAGGAAGCCACCTCCGTCTTCCAATCAGATTTTCAATATTTAACCATCACTTCCTAAGTACAGTTGGGCTCACTGAATTATGCAGCATCCACAAGACTGTCAGAGAAGATTTGTTCCTCATAATGGATTTTTGCATCACAAATGAATAGGGCTCTTCGACTTTATATTCATCTCCCTTTTCTGTGGTTACTTCTGCCTAATTTGCGTTTTTACCTGTCACTTTGCCTATATTATAAGAAATGTGAAAAATATGAAGAATCCTCTTTTATTGTCATGGCCTATGAGTGCCCAGACTGCTTGACCCTATATGAATTAAATACACCTTTTTGGATATTTTGTTCTTCCTGTATGTAGGGCTTCAAATGGGTGCAAATAAGATACAGTTAAATCTAAATGTACTGTTTCCACCAGAAGAATAAAAACAGGCACTAGTCTGCTACCAGCTGAAGATGAGAAAGTGGAAACAGGTGTAGCTGAGATAAATTAAATTTAAAAAAATGGGAGCCTTGGGCATTTTTCATAACAGCCCTGGAGTTAGTGGTTGGCTGGGAGCAGGGACCGTCCTGTGTGTGGTTTGAAGTTATGTGGAAGTCATTCACATTTAGCATTTATTCGCAGGCTATGGGGGTAAGGGTGATGCTCATTTCTCGTAGAGAGAGAATGTTCACTTACTAAAAGCCTGCCTGGACTTTGTCCTTTTCCAGGGACCATTGAACAATTAGGAGTTCTAGATTATACCTGGCATTAAGGATGTCATAACAAACTCCACTTTCTAAGGTTTCTGATCCTTAAATATAATCAAGGGAAGTAATGGTTTATTTTCATCTGCATGCATTCTCATACCTTTGCTGAGATTATGCCAGGGAAAAACAAGAACATCCATTTAATGGGAAGTGTCATATCTTCCTCTGACCCACCCTCCCTTCCTTTCTTCATTCCTTCCCTCAGCAGAGGTTTTCAAGTGCTTGCCGTGTGCCAGATAGGCACTGTGCTAGGCTCTGGGGAAATCACAACTAACAACATGTAGCCCGTGTTCCAGGGATGATTTTACATTCCAGTATGGAATACAGAAAAGTAAACAGGCAATTGCAACACAGTGTAATAAGTAGAATACATCTTCTGGTGATAATGATAACAATAATAGGGGTATATTTCTTAGGTGATTCTCTCAACTATCCCTTGAGCCAGGTACTATTTTTATTCCTGTTTTACTGAAGAAGCTTGAGGCTTGGTCAATTTTGCAAGTTCATAAACTTAGCAAGTGTAAAGTTGGAATTTGAATCCTGGCCTGTGGAATTTGAATCCTGTTTGTGCAGTCCTAGAACTGGAGCACTTAACTTTGACACTAATTGGTTGCTATGGGAAAACATGGTGGTGGGAATGTACATCTAGCATAGTCTTGGAAGCCCCAGAGGGTGGTTACGGAAGGCTTCTTAGAGGAAGTTACAACTAATCTGAGAATCGAAGAGAGAATAATAGTGGAAATAATAAGGTATGAAGAATAAGATATATTTAGGTTGGAAACCTGGCCATTCCTACATTTTAGCTTGGGTAAAATGTTTAACTTCTCAGCCTCAACTGCCTTATCTATTAAAACAATGATGCTAATATTATCCCTATTTCAGAGTTGTTAGAATGCAGTGAGATAGCATAGCATATGTGAAAGTTTTAGCATAAGACTTGGCATTAGGAAGACACCCAGTAAATGTTTATTTTCTACAATTTTCCAAGCAATAATAACATTCTGCATTTTACCATGCATACCATGGAATGTGTGATCTGCCTTAACCCAAAAGCCATGGGATAATTCAGATAGTTTAAAATGAGAGTTTAGATTATTTATTCTAATTTTTATTAGTCCTAACCCTAATATTGCCTTGGTTATTTTGGGTATTTCACTTATCTACTTGCCTAACAACTCATTCAGCTATTACTGGGTATATTTTAGAATAAACATTCCTGGAGGAAAAAGATGTTTGGCTATTTCTCAGAAATAACAGAGCTTGAAAGGAGCATTTATCAAAACAACTAAAAAAAAATCTCAGTGACTGGTTGCTGGATTAA